AAGATGTTGGGAGGATTTGGGTTCAGTCGGATCACTAAAAGATTTTGGGGGAATTTTCAAAGTTTCAAATTCAGTTTTTCGTGCCTCGGCCCGGAATTCCAAAATATGTCGCTCTCACAGTAGAAGAGATTAAAGCGCGATTTTTTGCCTCAAAATGAGGAAGAGCCTTATTAAGACGTTGGGTGAATTTCAGTTCAGTCGAATCACTAACAGATTTTTGGGGGAATTTTCAAAGTTTCCAATTCAGTTTTTTATGCTCGGCCCGGAGTTCCAAAATATGTCGCTCTCAAAATAGAAGAGATTAAAGCGCGATTTTTTGCCTCAACATGAGGAAGAGCCTTAATAAGATGTTGGGAGAATTTGGGTTCAGTCTGATCTCCAACAGCTTTTTGGGGAAATTTTCAAAGTTTCAAATTCAGTTTTTCGTGGCTCGGCCCGGAATTCCAAAATATGTCGCTCTCAAAATAGGAGAGATTAAAGCGCGATTTTTTGCCCCAACATGAGGAAAAGCCTTATTAAGATGTTGGGTGAATTTGGGTTCAGTCGAATCACCAACAAATTTTTGGGGGAATTTTCAAAGTTTCAAATTCAGTTTTTCGTGCCTCGGCCCGGAGTTCCAAAATATGTCGCTCTCAAAAAAGAATAGATTAAAGCGCGAATTTTTGCCTCAAAATGAGGAAGAGCCTTAATAAGATGTTGGGAGAATTTGGGTTCAGTCTGATCTCCAACAGCTTTTTGGGGGAATTTTCAAAATTTCAAATTCAGTTTTTCGTGGCTCGGCCCGGAATTCCAAAATATGTCGCTCTCAAAATAGGAGAGATTAAAACGCGATTTTTTGCCTCAAAATGAGGAAAAGCCTTATTAAGATGTTGTGTGAATTTGGGTTCAGTCGAAGCACTAACAGATTTTTGAGGGAATTTTCCAAGTTTCAAATTCAGTTTTTCGTGCCTCGGCCCGGAATTCCAAAATATGTCGCTCTCACAATAGAAGAGATTAAAGCGCGATTTTTTGCCTCAAAATGAGGAAAAGCCTTATTAAGATGTTGGGTGAATTTCGGTTCAGTCGAATCACTAACAGATTTTTGGGGGAATTTTCAAAGTTTCCAATTCAGTTTTTTATGCTCGGCCCGGAATTCCAAAATATGTCGCTCTCAAAATAGAAGAGATTAAAGCGCGATTTTTTGCCTCAACATGAGGAAGAGCCTTAATAAGATGTTGGGAGAATTTGGGTTCAGTCTGATCTCCAACAGCTTTTTGGGGAAATTTTCAAAGTTTCAAATTCAGTTTTTCGTGGCTCGGCCCGGAATTCCAAAATATGTCGCTCTCAAAATAGGAGAGATTAAAGCGCGATTTTTTGCCCCAACATGAGGAAAAGCCTTATTAAGATGTTGGGTGAATTTGAGTTCAGTCGAATCACCAACAGATTTTTGGGGGAATTTTCCAAGCTTGAAATTCAGTTTTTCGTGCCTCGGCCCGGAATTCCAAAATATGTCGCTCTCAAAATAGAAGAAATTAAAGCGCGATTTTTTGCCTCAAAATGAGGAAAAGCCTTATTAAGATGTAGGGTGAATTTGGGTTCAGTCGAATCACCAACAGATTTTTGGGGGAATTTTCAATGTTTGAAATTCAGTTTTTCGTGGCTCGGCGCGGAATTCCAAAATATTTCGCTCTCACAATAGGAGAGATTAACGCGCGATTTTTTGCCTCAAAATGAGGAAGAGCCTTATTCAGATGTTGGGTGAATTTGGGTTTAATCGAATCACTAACAGATTTTTGGGGGAATTTTCAAAGTTTCAAATTCAGTTTTTCGTGCCTCAGCCCGGAATTCCAAAATATGTCACTCTCACAATAGAACAGATTAAAACGCGATTTTTTGCCTCAACATGAGGAAGAGCCTAATTAAGGTGTTGCGTGAATTTGGGTTCAGTCGAATCACTAAAAGATTTTTGGGGGAATTTTCAAAGTTTCAAATTCAATTTTTCGTTCCTCGGCCCGGAATTCCGAAATATTTCGCTCTCAAAAAAGAAGAGATTATAAAGCCATTTTTTGCTTCAAAATGAGGAAAAGTCTCACTAATATGCTCGGTAAGTTTGGACATAATCGGGCCACTAACAGATTTTAGAGGAATTTTCAAAGTTTCAAATTGAGTTTTTTGTGCATCAAACCGGAATTCCAAAATATCTCGATGTCACAATAGAAAAGATGCAATAGCGACTTTTTGCTTCAAAATGAGGAAAAGTCTCACTAATATGCTCGATGAGTTTGGGCATAATCGGGCCACTAACAGATTTTAGAGGAATTTTCAAAGTTTTAAATTGAGTTTTTTGTGCATCAAACCGGAATTCGAAAATATCTCGATGTCACAATAGAAAAGATGCAATAGCGACTTTTTGCTTCAAAATGAGGAAAAGTCTCACTAATATGCTCGGTAAGTTTGGGCATAATCGGGAGGCTAACAGATTTTAGATGAATTTTCAAAGTTTCAAATTCAGTTTTTCGTGCCTCGGCCCGGAATTCCAAAATAT